TGCAAATTGTTAGTTGCCTCTCGCCAGGGGCATGGCGGGGGTTATGTTTTTACCAGCGAGTTTTGAGTGTTCGGTTTGTGTGTTACCATGCACGCTTCACGTTGCACTTCCGCTAGGTGCGGCTGGCTGCTAGCACTTAACTAATACACGACAACCACGAGGCCGTAAGGGGCGCAACCGACGTAGTCCTCACCTGCTCGCTCGCATAATCGGTCGCATTATTATTTAATTATTAATTTTTCCACTTAATTGAAATTATTAATTTAATAAAAAAAATTTCACATTGAATGATTTCGAGCTGCCTTGGCGGAGGTCTGTGCTCGTCTCTAGATTATTTTGTTGTCGTCTCGTTGTTCTTGTTGTTCTTGTTATCGTTGTTGTGAGTGTTCAATTGTTATTGCCGGTCGTCGTCGTGGTTATCGTTGTTGTTGTTTCCTATTGGCGACGCGATTCTACGTGATGGACTTCTTGCCGACGAAGAGGGCCTCGCGATCGGCGTCCGCCGTGATTCATATTCAGCACACGCATTTATATAACGAGATTCATATTATGCACGAGTATATTATCATATCAGAGCATATAAATATATTTATATGTTGATTTATAACTCTGATCATATTTCGCATGGACTCTATGATCGTTATCGTAAATTCCAGTGTGCGAGAGCATGGGTACATCAGATTACATGTATATGTTGGCACTGTATATGTAATGTGTACAATGAGGATATGTTGTGTATGTATATGTAATGTGTACAAGTTATAATTGTTGGTGTATGTATTGTAATGTGTACATGTATATGTTGTGTATGTATATGTAATGTGTACAATGTATATGTTGTGTATGTATATGTAATGTGTACAATGTATATGTTGTGTATGTATATGTAATGTGTACAATGTATATGTTGGTATGTATATGTAATGTGTACAATGTATAGTTGTGTATGTATATGTAATGTGTACAATGTATATGTTGTGTATGTATATGTAATTCTGTACGCAAATGGTATATGTTTGTGTATATGGTAAGTGGTAGCAAATGTAGTATGTTGTGTTGTATATGTATGTGTACCAATTGTATTGTTGTGCATGTATATGTAATCGTGTACAATGTATATGTTGTGTATGTATATGTAATGTGCTACAATGTATTATGTTGTGTAGTGTATATGTAATAGTGCTACAATGTATATTGTTGTGTAGTGTACATGTAATGTATATTTGGGCTGTGTATATGCTGTGTATGTATATGATTGTAATGTGTACAATTTACATGTTGTTGTATATATATATATATATATATATATATATATTGTGGGATGTGTACAATATATATGTTGTGTATGTATATGTAATGTGTACAATGTATATATGCTGTGTATGTATATGATTGTAATGTGTACAATTTACATGTTTGCTGTATCATATTTATTATATATACTGATATATACTATGGATGTGTACAAGTAGAGAGAGAGAGAGAGAGAGAGAGAGAGAGAGAGAGAGTGAGGTCACCGGCGTCTGCTAACAGCTACATCATCGTCTGCTGCTACCGCTCTCCACACACACACACCGGATCGTCTGCTGTTTCCTCGCTCTCGCGCTGCCCTAGCAACAACGCCACAGCGGCCGCTGCTGCCGAGATGTGACGACCACCGCCGCCGCCGACGCCGACGCTTCCGTGATAATGTTTAACATTAGCGCCGCCGACGACGACGACGGCCAGACGAACTGGTCGTTGGCGACCGGATCGCCATGGCAATGCTGCGCGCACGTGACCGCCGCAACGCTGAACGTCACCGACAACGAGTCCTACTACTCGCAGACGAACGCGTCGCTAGGGCAACGCGACGGCGAGCGGCGACGGCGCGACGAGGCGGCGGCGGCCGTCCTCGGTGTCGTCATCGTCGCCAGCGTCATCAGCAATGTCGTCGTCGCCATGGTGTTCTACCGCAAGAGGTCGCTGCGCACCGTCTCCAACCGCTTCGTCATCAACATCGTCGTCGTCAATCTGACGATCACAGCGCTCGTGATGCCCAACGCACTCGTGTCGGCCGCAGCGGGGCGCTGGGTGTTCGGCGACGCATGGTGTCAATGCGTCGGCGCCGGAACTACTCTCCTCTTCAGCGCCTGTCTACTGACACTGCTGCTAGTCAGCGTCGACAGGCTGTGCGCCGTCGTCGCCCCGCTGCACTACACGATGCGCGTGACGGGCCGACGTTCACTCTACTTCATCGGCGTCGTCTGGGCCGTGTCGGCGGCCGTCGCAGCGATGCCGCTGCTCGGTTGGAACCGCATAGTCTACCACGACGAGAAGTATCTGTGTACGATCGACTGGGGCGCGAGGGACGCGGCGTCCGTCTCATATTCGGTGTTGGTGACGCTGCTGTGTTGTGTGCTCCCCTACGCCGCCATCTTGTTCGTCTACGCGCGCATATACCGAGCTGCACAGATCACCTCCGCCAGGGCGCGCCGCAATAGCCTCCAGCCCGAGTCGTTGGCGAACGAAAGCTGCGGCGGCGGCGGCGGCGGCGGCGGAGGAGGAGGAGGAGGAGGAGGAGGAGGAGGAGGAGAAGGGGTGAGCTCCCTAGAGGAAAGCTGTGAGGCAGGAGGAAGACAGAAGGGGAGCGTCGTCGTCGGAGAAGGAGAATGCGGTGCAGGAGGAGGGAGAGGAGGAAGGAGAGGAGGAGGAGGAGGGAGAGGGGGCGGCATACTGCAGCGCGACGACTGGAAGGCGGCGAAGACAGGCCTCATTGTCGTCTCCTCCTTCACCGTCTGCTGGCTTCCTTTCTGGATCGTCGCCGTGCTCGAGTACACGCTGCCGTGCCCAGCCGACATCCCTCCCCCCGTGCACGTCGTCGCCACGTGGCTCGCCTTCACCGAGTGCGCGCTCAACCCGATCGTCTACGTCTACCGCAACCGCGTCGTGCGCCGCGAGGTGGCGCGCCTACTGCACGGCGCCGCCAGGGGGCGCCGCAACACGCGCGTCGTCGACCTGCGTCGGCCGCCGACGATCTCCTTCTTCACGCAGGAGCTGGCGACGCCGCCCGGCGAGCCGACGACGTCGGAGGCTTCCCCTGCCGACGGCCGGAAGCCGGGCGGCGACGTGACGTCGAGCACGTCGGGATTGGGATCGTCGACAGGGGTCGCCACCGTCAGCTGCGAGCTGAGCAGCAGCAGCGGCGGTGGCGGAGGAGGAGGAGGAGGAGGAGGCGGCGGACGCGCCATGGCAACCATATCGGAGGTGATAGGCGAGCAGCAGACATCTGCAGTGTTCGCGCGCGCATACATGGACGGCTACTCTCTCCCGCCGCACGCCTGGCGCGAGCTGGCAGGGGGCGCCGCTGCAGCGCCCTATCTCGCTGCTTACGGATACGCGTTCAGTCTGCCCGGGCAGGTGCATGCCGCACCGCCAGACGGCGCTGGCGAGACGAATGACGCCACCAGGTGGCGCGCGCAGTCAGAGTCGGTGAGCGTGACCGGCCGGAAGCCGACGCCTGCGTCGACGGGTGGCGCCACCTCGTGGCGATCGTCGTCCGAACTGCGGAAGCTTGAGCGACGACGAGTGTCGTTCCAGTGCGACGGCGAGGTCGCGCCGCCAGGCGGCAGCACCGCGGTCGTCACGCAGGCGGCCGACGACGACGACGACTTGTTCGCAGCGTCGCCGGACGTGCACGCTGTTCCATCGATGCAACACAAGCTGCCGACGGAGGCGCCAGATGCACACGTCCCATCAACGCAGCACGACCTCCGGGAGGAGACACAGAACATTCGGGTCGCTCCATCGATGCAACACGACCTCCTGGAAGACGCACCGGAAGCGCTGCTGCAGCGGTCGTTGTCGGAGGACTCGCTCGAGTTTTCGAGTATCGCGGACCATGTATGTGAGTCAGGTAGCAGCTGAACCCCTGCCTCCCTACCACCACCACCACCAGCAGCAGCAGCAGCAGCAGCAGCACCACCACCAGCAGCAGCAGCAGCAGCAGCAGCAGAAACAACATAATCATCATCATCGTCAGCCCCAGCCGCAGCGGCGGCGGCGGCAGCGGTAGCATCAGCATCTGTATCAGCATCAGCCTCAGCATCAGCAGCAACAGCAGTATCATCATTATTATCATCACCATCCTCTTCTTCTTTTTCTTCTTCTTCTTCATCTTCTCAGCAGCAGCAGCAGCAGCAGCAGCAGCTGTAGCAACAGAAATAGTAACAACAACAGCAGCAACAATCGCCATCAGGTAGTGCCACCAAACCCACGTACTCACGTTTCCATTACCCCTCCCCTCACCACCTCCCTCACCTCCCCCACCACCTCCCCATTATCCCGCCTTCGCTTCTTCCTCTCTCGCTGCGCACAAATCTACCACCATACTCGCATCGGCCTTCTCATTTCATCGCCAGCCCCACGACTTTCTTTTCCACGTTCATTCGCTCTAAAAAAAGAATCGCGCGTAGAATGGCTTTGCCTTGCCTTGTGACCACGCACAATAACCGAGCGCCGACGCCAACGATGACGCTGCCGGTTCGTTGTTCGCCGACGCAGCGTGGACGCCGACGATGCATTGTCGGCTATGCTAATGCGGTCGCTAATTCGATGGCGCATGCAGAGTGTTGCGGCTGCGATCGGAAGTTGGGGGTGAGGCCGGTTGTAAAGGTGGAATATCTAATGTGGTCGACAATCGGTGAGGCTACGCTGGCCGTGATTCATATGGGGCTGTGCGTGTATGTGTGTGTGTGTGTGTGTGTGTGTGTGCGTGTGTGTGTGTGTGTGTGTGTGTGTGTGTGTGTGTGTGTGTGTGTGTGTGTGTGTGTGT